ACGGGACAGAGACCAGCTTGTCCGTATGAGTATTCACGAATGCCCTCGCATAGCTCCGCATCACAATATTCCTGGACCCATCTAGGCTGTCCCGCATCCACATCTCCAATGGGGTATTCTTGTATCATGCTTGCTAGAATTCAGAACAAAACGAAAGGCTCTGGGCAAACTGAGAATCAGATGGGTTGTGTGATGGAAACTTGGGTAGGATGTGTTCGATTCCTTATATAGCAGAGAATTTCAAGATCATATAGCGCCCAGGGACATATTTGCTCCTCCAACTCACAAGGATCTGTGCATCGAGTCACACTCCACCCCGGCGCTTGAAGGGGCGGCGTAACTTGACAAGGATCCTATTTTGGTTGGCTCTCATCGACTTTTTGTTGGCGTCACAATCTGAATCAGCAAGGATCTTCAAAAAAGCGAGGTTCGTTTTTCTTTCTTTTACTTCCACTGAGGCCTATCGAGCACTGTGCTGTTCCGACTGGCCGACCTCGACTTTGTGTCCTTGAGTGATGTGCAGCGACAGGACGATTCAACGAGGTCATGTTCGTGGTGGCATGCTATTCATTACTCACCCAAGTTTGTTCGTGACTCAATAACGAACTCTCTAACTAACAAGTTAACTAGTTAATTACGTAATTTAGTTGACCTATAGTTAACTAGTCCGTAAATGGACATTACTAATAAAAGTTAAATAGGCGCCAAAAACGCAAACTTCCAAATATATCCCCATCATCCCAACCTCATCCCTTGCTGTGCCGCAGCAGTCATAGTGTTATTCTACTTACTATTGAGGAATAGCTTGAGAATGGGAGGGGCGAAGAAATGGATCCGGTTGCATATTGATAAACTGCTTCTCAATACCACTGAATGCCTATTCGTGCAGAGCCACGCCCAGTATGTTGGATGGCCCCTATCACACCTCCTTCTCCGCTGCCTTGCCTTGGATATCCCGAAATAGCGATGGCGGCGCTTAACAGTACCGTTTACCCGGGTAGCCGCCAAGACATGATGAGCCGTGTGCAAGCTTTGATTCATTGGCTTACGGCGCATAAGAGCAATTTCCAAAGATACCCCAGACATACCTTCCATGCATGGGCATTGATTTCGGTGCCTGAGAGCCATAGAAATGATCATTTGATCCAAAACCTGATACGATACCCACTCTCAATATGGAATATGTGAGAGTCAGCGCCTATACTCCGTCCATTACTTCCCCTCCCCCGGCATACCCGAAGAACATATGATAGAATGTACAGGGGTAGGTTGCTGTCAATTTTGGATGTATTCCCATTGTTTTTCCTATGCAGTGGCATAGCTCCGATAATTTACTGGCTCTGGTGAACTTATCTTGAAGCGCCCGGGCAAGGCAAGGCAGGGGGAAGAAAGTTTGGGGGCGGGGGATTAATTGGATGATGATTGTAAATAGATCTATTGTCGGAATTTCAACAATTCATGCATTACTGTGACAGATTTCACAATAGTCCGTCAAATGCGGCACTCATCAGCATTGACTCGGCAGGTTATAAATACTACCATCTCAGCTCCTGATCCTGTGTTGTTTTGGGAGACAGTTCACAGCCAACAAACAGGAATACAAAGACAAAAAAGACAAGTTTTACACAAGCCCAACTGCGCATAGGTTTTATCCTTCCGTTACCCCTTTCAACTCCAAGCACAATGCTGCGCACCAAACAGCCACAACGAGGTGCGATGCGGTCCTCCCAGCCGCCCAAACGCCCTGCGCCTCCTAAGAAACCAGGCTCCCAGGTCAACCAAGGGGGAATTCGTGCGCCCAAGTCACACTGGCCGGTATGGAAGATGAACTACCGTGCGGAAGGGGTGAGCAAGATACTCCGGATTGAATGGCACCACGAGCCGAACAGTCAAGAGGCGATGAATGAGACCCTTTCAGTCATCTATGAGTATATCTGCAACCCTTGTGATGAGATTTTATCATTTCATGGAAGAGGTTTTAAGGACCTGAAGCCCGAATTCTGCATTGTTACGTGAGTATCTACAACAGGGTTCCAGAAGATGGGTCAAGCTAACTACGAGTGCTTTTAATATAGTGGGGATTCTCATGTGACGACCATCAGCCACTCGGACAGAAAGAGGGATACGGATTTACATCTAAGCCTGCACTTCAGCAGCGCGGGAGACCGGGTCCACCACAGGGGACACAGCGTGCACGTATACGTTGATCCCATTACTAGAAAGCATCGCCGAAAGCCGTCGGCATGGACCAGCCCAACTCCCGATGATGAAAAAATGAGGGCCGTGTACGAAGGAAGAACGGAGTGGCCCCCGGAAACCAACGCTTATGATTGCCGATGGGCACCAGGCCACGAGCCGCGCCCCCCGCCGTCAACGGAAAGACTGGTCGACGCCCCAGCACCCAGGACGAATCCATGGGCGAGATAGAATCGTGAACTGTTTCCTCATTTCCTCAGATGCCCTCTAAGATGTCAGCCCCTTAGCTATGCGCCCCTAGTATTCCTTATCATTATTGACCAGGCTTTTGTTGGGAGTCGGAGATATATCACGTCGGCGCTTAGTTAGTTATTTTAGGTTTGTCATGGTTAATCATCATCTCCACCAGCGCGTTAATGACACATCCGCTTTAATGACACGTCCCGAGTAACCAAGTTTTATGATGTATTAAATACTTGAACTTTATTAAGAATCTAAGTATCTAGTAAATGAATGTGAAGGCCTGATTACAGCTTATTAGGTACTGGATTTAGCTCTAAGGATTTTGATAACTCGATGAAGTTGTCGGTTTCCTAATCAACCGGGACGTGGGGTTATCTGCAGAGTGCGTGTGCGAAAGATAGGCTTTGTGGGGAAGGCGCCAGGCGTCAAGTTGCGACTTCACCGGTCGACTTCACTGGAGGATCGTCACTGCCGTTCGTGAAGTGCTATATTCACGGCCATGCTGCCATCTGCTGAATATTTAAGGCCCCCCAGATCCAAATTTTTTTCTCGACCTGAATATTTTATCTAAGAATTACAACCTCCTCTCCAGCTACACATCCCTCCCCTCAAACAGTTTTACCTCTTACCCAGTTGTCTGTCTTACCCACCCAGCTCGACTTGATGGAGTCACTGGACGCTCGCTACGACACCCTGTGGGCAGAGTTCAGGCTTGACCAGACGTCCGCATGGAACAGTTGTACCCCTTACCCAGTTGTCTTTCTTAGCCAGAAAGCCTGTCCAGCTCCAGGCTTGCGCCAGCTCGAGGCCTTCAGGTCAAGGGTGCTGCATGAAGGGCAGGCTATGCGATCTCGCCAAGGGCTTGACGACTGCTTGGACATGACATGAGAAGTTGACCTGTGTGGAAGATGAAATACCGCACAGAGGAGTTTTCCTAATACCCTCCGGAATCGAGTGGCATCACAAGCCACAGGAAAATAAATGGAAGACACCTTAGTGTGTTACCCCAATATACCATCAGCGTGGAAGCTAAGATACTGCGCAGAGGCAGTTAATAAAACTCTCGAGGAGACCTAGATCGGGGCCTATCATTGTTTTTATAAATATAGCCCCTATCGCCTCCATCATTCTAAGGTGATCTCGGGGTAAAGTCTCTTTTGACACGACAGCAAGGACAACAAAGAGAAGAAGATCAAGAAGAAAGGATGTCGTCAAACAACATGTCGTCAAGCAATATGTCGGTCCAGTTCCAGGCTGTGCCAGCTGGAAATAACAACTCCAAGGCAGGTTGGCCTGTGTGGAAGATAATATACCGCGTGGAGGGTATAAACAAAGTCCTCAGAATTGAGTGGCACCACAGGCCCGAACATGTTCGGGTGGAAGAGACTCTGAGGGTGATATCGCAGTATATCATAAAACAGGCTTTTCAAGAGAGCATAAGACAAACTAATAAAGAAGAAAAGACGAAAGAAGAGGAAGGGATGTCGTCAAACGACACGTTAGTCCAGTTCCCGGCTTTGCCAGCTGGACGTAACCCCAAGGCAGATTGGCCTGTGTGTAAGATGAAATACCGCGCGGAGGGTATAAACAAAGCCCTCAGAATTAAGTGGCACCACAGGCCCGAACATGGTCGGATGGAAGAGACTCTGAGGGTGATATCCCAGTATATCGCCAATCACTGTGCCAGCTGGAAACTGCAATTCCAAGGCAGGTGGCCTGTGTGTAAGATGAAATACCGCGCGGAGGGTATAAACAAAGCCCTCAGAATTGAGTGGTACCACAGGTTCGAAGATGGTCGAATGGTAGTGACTCTGAGGGTGATGTCCCAGTATATCGCCAATCACTGTGACATCATCCAAGTTGGCACCGAAGGGGGCTTCAAGAAGGTCAAGCCCGAATACTGCATAGTATTGTATGTATTCGCAGCTTCCGGCAGTCTTGGCCGTTCTTGCCCGCGCTTGGCTCCGCTTTGCTTGGCACATCAAGAAGGTCAAGACAGAATACTGCATAGTATGGTATGTACTCATAGCTTCCGGCAGCCATCCAAACATTTTCCTGGGTAACCTTAAGCTAACCACCTCTACTACAGCGCCGATGCCCACCCGACGACCATAAGCCAAACGGATAGACCTCCAGACAAGGAGCTGCACATATGTCTGCGCTTTAGTAACGCAGGGGGACCACGTCCGGCATATGGGCTACAGTGTCCACGTCTAAGTCGATCCAGGGACCAGAAAGACTACCGCAACCAGACAGCGAAGGGGGCTTCAAGATGGTGAAGCCCGAGTACTGTATAGTATTGTAGGTATTTGTAACTTCCCGCGGCCAACATACTTCTGGGTAAAGCTAACCATTCCTAGCATATGTGTGGATGCTCGACGCACGAAAGCCAAACGGATAGACCTCCAGACAAGGAGCTGCACGTATGTCTGCGCTTTAGTAGCGCAGGAGACCGCGCCAGCCGCATGGGCTACAGTGTCCACGTCTATGTCGATCCAGGGGCCAGAAACCAAATTCGCCAGCAGAGGTGTTGGGTATCTCCAACTCTAGATATTCCGAGAATGATCGGTTTGAACTCGCATGGGCTACAGTGTGACCAGCAACAAAGAAAGCAGCAAGCAAGTAGGAAGGAGAAGAAAGGAGGGAAACCCAGCGAAGCCGCCTTGTCCTTCTTCGACTTGTCTCTGCTATTTAAATGTCTTGGCCGACCTCCGTATCTTACACCGTCTCGTCGTTCTTGTCATTGTCTTGTCCATGTCTGTGACGATCCAGGGACCAGAAACCATATTCGCCAGAAGACGAAGTGGGGTCACCCGACCCTAGATATATCGAAAATGAGGGCAGTTTATGATGGTAGAACAGAGTGGCCTCCAGAGATCGACTCACAAAAGGTGAAGAATTAGTGAGGTCCAACGTTCAAGCTAGCTTGAGAGGTCAAGCTCTTGAATGGTATACCATCGAGCTGACTGAGATGGAAAAACGAGCAATTACTGCATTCCCCCTACAAGCCGGATGGGTAGAGGCCCTGACAAAGCGTTTCAAACCACGGGCAGTCGAGGCACTGGCCGCAATGACCCAACTGACTTTCCCCATGGCAGTCTTCCATAAGGGTTATGACGTTAGGACATACGTTCACTGTCAAGTGCCAATAGGCTATGAGCCACGTCCACCTCCGACAACAGCAGGGTTCGTCGACGTGCCAATTCCAAAGACGAACCCTTGGGCGAAGTAGCTAATCGGTTCCCGGAGACGCCTCACAGAGTGAGATATCAGCTTCTCTCGACTAATTAACAACCTGCAACCAACTATGTTCGACAACCTCCGACAACAGCAGGGTTCGTCGACGCGCCAATTCCAAAGACGAACCCTTGGGCGAGGTAGCTAATCGGTCCCCAGAGACGCTTCACAGAGTAAGATATCAGCTTCATTCCGACTAACCAACAGTCTGCAACCGACCATGTTCAACAACCTCAACTTATGGATGACTGATCGTCAGTTGACCTCGGACTGAGTGCAATTTGTCATGCAGCTAATGATACTCGTCCATCTAACCCACCCGTGCATTCCCTTGGAGAAGTTGTGTTGATCTCAGCGAAGAGAACTCAGACTCTCTGGAATGAGGAGAAGAGTTGAAAGACGATGACGCTCTCACCCTTCGGAAATAATAAATAAGTAGATTAAATGGGCTTACATTCGAGGGGTTAGAGGAGTTTTTTTCAAGGCACATGTTCTGCCCTTGGGAGATTGGGATTCCTTTCGTGCTAGGATCGACCAGCCGAGGAAGAAATAATCTATCTCCTTTCTTCCGTGCAACAATATCTATATCTATCTATATATATATATTATCAGTACTGACCACCAGTGTGGGCTTGCTAAATTGGTATTTATTGGTGAATGTATACATGGAAAGTGGACATTTATATAAAAGATGCCAGTTGGGCAGTCTAGTAAGTTATATTCTAGATACGTAGGTAGACCCTTATGAAACACCTTTTGAGTTTATCCAGTTGCCCTGTTAGAATCTAGCATAGTTATCAGAAACCCAGTACGCTCGTATGCCCATCACCCATCACCTCCTCCCTCCTTGACAACGTTTCACATGTGGCAAAGAAGCAATATTAAGCAATGGAATGGGGGGGTGACTAAGCAAGGACAAGCACTGGCTGAAGACGCCCCACCCGGGTCCTTATTCGCTGCTTAAGTACTTAAATCACCATGACTAATCATCGGCTGACCTCGGCGTCTCAAGCAGGGATGCACCTGGCTTGGCACCCTTGGCCCAACCTTGGCAACTTCGCTTGTGTATTCTTGGCAGTGGGTCTTGGCACTCATCCCCTTGGCCCGTCCTTGGCCGTCCTTGGCCGCCCTTGGCTCCGCCTGGCTTGGCGCTCTCGCCCTCATTGGGTCCCTTGGAGTAACACATCTGCTTATGTCAGCACTACAGAAAAAGCAACGAAGCGAAGAAAAATAAAATAAAATAAAATAAAATAAAATAATAAAAAAGAAGAAGAGACGAGACGAAGGAGAAAGACAGGAAGAAGCAAAGAAAAAGGCGAAGAGAGGAAAAAGCAAAGAAAGGCCAGCGAGACAGAAGAGAGAGAGAGAGAGAGAGACCACTGGCAGCACCAGCAGCAGCAAGAAAGCAAGCAGGCAGGCAGGAAAGCAAGCAAGCAAGCAAGCGGCAGAAGAAAAGAAGGAAAGCTGCCTTGCCTCGCCTTACTTATTTAAATGTCTTGGCCGTCCTCCGTCTCTCCCACCGTCTCGTCGTTCTTGTCGCTGTCTTGTCCTGCCTTTCCTGCCCAACCGCCGACCTCAGCGACTGCTCTAGTACTTGTCCATCCCTCCTGTCCAGCTCTCGTCCTAGCACTGCTGCTTACTGCCTGCTACGGAGTCCTGCCTGCTACTTATCTCTGTCTCTGTCGACTCCCTCCGCCCGCCCAGGCTTGGCCGTTCCCTCTCTCTCTGTCAGCGCTGTCTGTCTCGCCCTCGCCTTTCCGCGCTCCCCTTACTCACTTATTTTAAGGAGGCCAAGGCCCTCCCTCGCCGACTCAGCCCCTTCGTCCCGTCTCTCCTCGCGTCCTCCTCTCATCGCTGCTCAGCTGCACCGGCGTTCTTCTTCTTCTTCTTCTTCTTCTTCTTCTTCTACTTTACTACTACTTCCTGGCGACGATTTCTTTTCAGCGTTGACTCTCTGGACTTATAACGCCCTCGTCGCCCTCCTCTTCGATCGCTGACTTTCCGCTCTTGGTGCCTCGCTCGCCCAGCGTCGACAAGACTTTTGCTTGGCGGCCATGTCTTCCACCCAGGACCAAGACCATTCCGCCCTCGCCCAGCACCAGCAGCAGCAGCATCAGCCGTCGCAGCAGCAGCAGTCACAGCAGCAGCAGGCGGCCGCGGGCTCGCAGCCAGAGCAGACGCAGGCGCAGGCACAGCAGCCCCGGAGCCAGATGCAGTCCGCGTCATCTCTCCAGCAGCAACCACCTCAGCAACAGCAGCAACCTCAGCAGCAGGGCCAGCAGCAGCAGCAAGGACAGCAGCAGCAGCAGCCGGCCTCGCAGACAGTGCAGAGCGTCCCTGTCCAGACGAGTCTCCAGCATGCTGCCGCTGCCGCCGCCGCCGTCGCGCCCCCGGGAGTCCAGCAGGTCGCTCCCAACAGTCCCAGCGCGCCCGGCTCGCTCGAATGTCAGTGGCAGGGCTGCCAGGAACTCTGCCCGACTCCAGAGGCTCTCTACGTATGCTTCTCCTTCTATCCTTCTCTCTCTCTCTCTTTATGTGTTGTGATGCAATGGCTAACTGGGCGTAGGAACATGTGTGCGAGCGCCACGTCGGACGCAAGAGCACCAACAACCTCAACCTGACCTGTGGATGGTCCAACTGCCGCACCACCACCGTCAAGCGCGACCACATCACCTCCCACATCCGCGTCCATGTGCCCCTGAAGCCGCACAAATGTGACTTCTGCGGCAAGGCCTTCAAGCGGCCCCAGGATCTGAAGAAACATGTCAAGACGCACGCGGACGACTCGGTCCTCATGCGGTCGCCGGAGCCCGGTGCCGGCCAGCGACAGCAGCCTCCCACCGGCATGTTTGGCGTCGGTCTTGGGCCTGACGGAAAGCGTACGTTTTATTTTATTCCTATTTTTATTCTATTTATTTTGCTCTATTTTATTCTATTGTGATGTGTTCAGGGCTGACAACTTTTTATAGCAGCTCACTTTTTTGAAGGATCACTCGGTCCGGTCCCCCAGGCTTACGGCCACCCTCCACCACAGTACTACCAGCCTCAGCACCCCCAGCAGCAGCCCAATCCCTCGTATGGAAACGTCTACTATGCCGTTGGCCACGATGCTGCCCACCAGGCGTCCTACGAGAGCAAGAAGCGTGGCTACGATGCCCTCAATGAGTTCTTTGGAGACCTGAAGCGCCGTCAGTTCGACCCTACCTCCTATGCCGCCGTAGGCCAGCGTCTGCTCAACCTCCATGGCCTCCCGCTGCCTCTGACCCACGGCGGTGCAGTGCCAGAGTACCAGCCCATGCCTGCCATGGTCGGCGTCGGTGGCGGCCATAGTGGCTACCAGTCCGCCGGACCCATCCCGACCCAGTCCTACCATCTGCCCCCCATGGGCAATCTGCGCACCAAAGCTGACCTGATGAACATTGACCAATTCCTGGAGCAGATGCAGTCCACCGTCTACGAGAGTGATGAAAACGTGGCCGCCGCAGGAGTTGCCCAGCCTGGTGCCCACTACGTCCAGGGTCCCCTGAGTTACCGCACGACTAACTCTCCCCCGACTCACCACCAGTCACACCACCACCCTCATGCCACCGCCACTGCCGCTACGACCACTCCGGCGGCTACCACTGCCTCCATGATGTCCACTTCTGCTGCTGTCACTCCTGCTTCCTCTGTCTCTGCTGCCAGTAGATCCCCTCTCGCATCCACTCCGGCCCTCACTCCTCCCTCCAGCGCCCAGTCCTACACCTCTGGCCGCTCTCCGATCTCGCTCGCCTCTAGCCATGGCATGTCCCCATCCCATCACCCTTCAACGGCAGGAATGTACCCTACTTTACCCGCCACAACGGGCCAGGACAGCCTCTCCTCATCGGGATACCCAACCACCGTCTCCAGTGCCGCTCCCCCGTCCACTCTGAGCAGCATCTTTGATGATGACCGAAGACGCTACACTGGCGGCATGCTCCAGCGTGCTCGTCCTGACATTGACCTCTCCACTCCCTCCATCAAGCGTGATGCTGACGCTGCTGCTGCTGCTAAGGACGAAGCTAAGCTGTCCTCCAGCGTCATCGATCCTGCCCTCAGCCGTGCCTCGGCCGACATGGACGAAGATGCTGCCCCCCGTAGAAGCCCTTCATCCACCCCTACTCCCACTGCTACTACTGCTGCTGCTGCTGGACCAGATGACCGCCAGCCAGCCGGTGAGCAGCAATGGGTCGAGAACGTGCGTCTGCTACAGAGACTACGTGACTATGTCCTCGAACGTCTCAACAACGGTGACTATGTCGATGAAGACAAGCAGGACGACTCCGACAAGGAGGAAGACGCCAAGACCGACAAAGCTTCCCCTGGATCTGCATCTACTACATCTGCATCTGACGCCGCTACCGGAGCCGGAGAGTACCCCAGCATCAAGATGCATGGAATGGAAGCGATCGCCGCCGCTGCCGTGGCCCACGAGGAAGGAAGAGATAGTCAGATGCCACGCGACGACGAAGATCAGGAGAACCCATCTACCCCCACTGCCCGAAGCACGACAACCATGCTCGATGCCGAGGAAGAGGCCAAGCAAGCAGGAGAGAACCTGTATCCTGTGCTCAAGATGGCCGTTGACGATGACGGAGCCGACACCGACGGCGACGAGAAAATGGGCCAGTAGACCGACCGACCGACTGGCTGCGTTCTTTGTTCAGCTTATACCACCTACACCATTACCTTTTTCCGCGTTTCGTGACGATGCTACGAGTTTGTCTTTCCAATCTGTCGAGTCAGCCATGTATATTTTACTTTTTACTTTTGTTCATCGTATCCGTCTTATCGTTTTGTCTGTTCATCGTTTTTGTCTTTGTCCATCTGTCCAAGTGTCTGCTGTGGGATGTTTCCAAATACTATTTTCTTTCTCTTCTCCTTTTCCCTTCTTTGCTCTCCACCGAGTCCATCGTAGTATTGATATCGTAAAATACCGTAACTTACGCCGCCACCACCCAAAACCCTGTAACTCCGATACATAACCTAAAAACCACCGACGACGAACGACGTCAACTACGACATCATAGAAATACAGATTACAACTGATCAGCGAGAAGTAGGGAGAGACAGCAACATTGTCAGCCCTGTGAGAAAGAAAAAAAAAAAGACTCCCTGCCACGAGGAGAGGAACGAAGAAGACAGCAAAATCGAGCAGCCGACCCATGGTTCGGTCTCGGCCCCAGCTCCAAGACGGTCAAAAGGCCCGTCGTCGCCATCCACGCGCTCGCATCAACGGCCAGACAGTCGATGTCTCCATCATCCAGAGTCACTAAGTCTTAAGTCCCTCCCGCTGGAGCCCTGCAAACTGAGAAATCCGGGGTTTGGCTCGTTCGCCTTTCTTGCCATCGATCCGGCCGTCTCCAGCAGTGACATATCCTTACTCCGTAACTCGGTAAACTAGTTTTTTTTTAGTCCGTTCCCTGTGTTTTGGTTCGTCTTGTTTCGCCTCGGGGCCACTAACCGTCGTTTATCGATAGGCTGGCGGCTGGGGCTATCGATATCGGCTGTTTGAGAGGGCGGGTTGTGGACGCGTTGAGGCGCTGTGCTGGCTGCGTATATACAAACAAACATAACATCATCGCTGGCGAGCCGATCGTTACTTCGATACTTTGATACTTTCTTGACGCGTGCGTGGGTTACATACTCTGTTACGCTTACTTTTGCGCCTGCGCCTGCGTCTACGTCTGCGTCTGCGTCTGCGTCCGCGTGAGGTGAGGCTCGAGGTCTTGTCCGCGGCTATATGAACTAGTTATACGGCTGGGCTGAGTCGCGTCAAGCCCTGCTTCAACGACACGACATACATACATACATACTTAAAGTAGCCTGCTTGCTACGAGTATTCTGTACTGGCTTGGTGCGGAGGGGGAACTGGCTGCTGATACAGCTGCCATCAGGAAGATCGAAGGAATACACGAGATCGTACCCGTACCACAAACACAAACATCCACACTCTCCATCTCGCCTCCGCACTCGGTCGGTCGAAGATACGCAACAAAGACACAGTTAAACGAGTCAGTCAGTCTGCTGAACCCACATCGAGACGAAAGCCGAAGTCTGGTTGGGAGGCTGCGAAAGAGGTGGCAAGCCCAAAGGCCGCAGACGAAGAAGCAAGTCACTCGGTTCGAGCGAAGGGAGGAGGGAAGCAGTGAAAAGGGAAAAGGAAGAAAAAAACAAAGTCAAGCTCAAAGACGCAAGAGAGGAACCGTTAACCAGACATCCAATCGAGGGAAGGGAAAAAGTCAACTTCTGGTGAAAGAGTTTTTTTTCTTTCCATCTTCTTCGCCTGTTTACCAACTTTGACGGTAG